TATATTTTATTTTATTTTATTTTATGTTATTTATTTTTATTTTTTTAAATTAAATTACATTTAATTTAATTTAATTTAATTTAATTTAATTTAATTTAATTTTATTTTATTTTATTTTATTTGCTGATAATAAGATGAGAAACCTAAGAGGACTTCCAAATCGAATCCCATAACCTCTTCGGTTGCTCTCTCTATCCTGTGCGTTTTGAGAAGATCCTGTCAACATCTCAGTCGAAAAGCCCCGTGGTGCACAGAAACAGGCATCACACTTACAGCATCCAGCATCTGCTGGCTTGTCAACAGTGCTAAATGTGTCCTCTGCTCCTGAGGTTCTCAACAGCAATTCCCATATATTTAAATCAATGTTACGAGGCCTCGTCGCATGCCAGACTCCTGCAGACACGCTGAAAGCCCAGTGTGTGCAAACAGGCCTACAGCCGCTGCTTGTGTTCCAGTGTGGGTGTGTTTTCTCAGATGCATGAAGGGATTTTGTTTAACTAAACTGATGTTTGGTGTAGGTGAATGTGTGTGTCTGGTGCTGTTCTCAGTCCTGTAATTTCTCACCCGCACCTCAGAGGTCAACCAAAAGACTGAAATAACGCTGTTGACATTTTGTGACTTCCTTGACTTCATGATCAGAGATAGAATTGTTGTTGATGGGCGAGAGGTTTTCGTCTGGAAGCGTGCAGTCTAACAAATCACTGTCAGGAGAGTCATTCATCAACAGGGTCACTGGCTGGCATTATTTTAAAGTCGACAATGACCCTGTTGACCTTATTAATACGCTTTCCTATGCTTTTCATGTTGATTTTATTACAGAGCCAACAGAAAATTAACACACAAATGTACACCGTGTCATATCTTCATGCAGATTAAAAATAAACAGCCTGAGGTGGTTTGATTTGTGCTGGTTTAATGCCGTTTTGCACATTTTTTATTATTATTTTGAACCTTAAATAGACATGGAGTTTGAAAATGGCCCCTTTTCCTCAGAAACAGTTGGCCAGAAATGGAAACGAAGGTAAAAAATGAGATGTGCACAGACAAGTGATAATACGATTTAGTTTTAGTAAGAGGATTGAGCGTGATAGCCTTTTCTGTGTGCAAATGGAAAAGTTTTGTACCTGGAAATAGCAGGTTCGCTTTAGTTAAAGACCTAGTTCACCCAAAAATTATTATTTTTTTATTTTATTTTAATTTAATAAAATTTTTTGATTTAATTTATTTTTTTTAATTTAATTTTTTAATTTAAGTTTAGTTTAGTTTTTTTGTATTTTAGCTTTTATTTTTATTTTATATAATTGTATTTTTTATTTTAGATTTTTAATGTTATTTTTTAAATTTTAAATTTGTTTTATTTTATTTAAATCAAAAATAAAATAAGGTTTGCGCCTGGTAATTTATATACAGTATGTATTTATATTTTATTTTTTTATTAAAATATAATAATGACTTGGAAACTTTTGAACCCAAACTGAGCTCACATGAAATATGCAACTCCAAAACCAAACAAAAATAGGGAAATGACCGATTGCTGAGACAATCTGTGAGCTCTGCTGCCCACATGAACAGCCGCAACAAGACGAGAGAGGACTGAAGTGAATGTAAATGCTTTCTTTTATTAGACTCAAAGAGAGTCGCCCATCAGCCATCATAATGAGAGATTCTGTGGAGTGACTGACAATCAGCTTGATTGTGGACTCACTTTGACGGGTCGTCATTTCGATGTGAAGGACTTGGACGCCCCCGTTTGTTTCCATCTCATGCATCTCTTCTGCTCACCAAGGCTGCATTTATTTGATCAAAAATACAGTAAAAATTGTGAAATAATATTACAGTTTAAAATAGCTGTTTTCTATGTGAATATCTGTTAAAATGTAATTTATTCCTGTGATGCAAAGCTGAATTTTCAGAAGCAATACTCCAGTCTTCAGTGTCACATGATCTTTCAGAAATCATTCTAATATGCTGATTTGCTGCTCAAGAAACATTTCTGATTATCATCAGTGTAAAATTGCATTGCTGTGTCTCTCTCTGGTCTGTAGGAGACGATCTGCGGGTTTGCGCTCCTCAGAGAACCTGCTGTAACGCAGAAATGGAGGAGAACTTCAGCCAGAGAAGCTCACGGGACTTTGAGAAGCTCATGGACGACACGAGCGAAGAGCTGAGGGACGCGTTTATGACCGGACATAAAAGGTTTGATGGTACGATTTGTTCTTTAACGTTCATTGATTAATTGATGTCAAACTATTATGAGACCGTTTCAACTTAAAATCAGCTTATTTAGTGGAATGAGGGATTATTAACCCTATAAAGCCCACATTTCACATGATCAACATGATTGCTGTTAAACCTGTTTCACTCAGTCTACTCTGCCTTCTGTCCTCTGATTGATAGATTATGCTTTTTTATTAAGTAAAACCTCTTTTAGTGTAATTGTACAAGCGTCTAGCTTCAGCTGGTGCTTCACGTGTCTTTCTGCTGTCAAATCTTTGCTGATTTTTATCACGTAAACGTAAGAATAGCTAGTAATATTTCCAGATGAACACTCACTGGATTGAAGCAGCTCTGCTTTCCTTGAATCTCCATCAATCACTTTTTAGAAAAAAATCAGTGCGTCTCAAATCTGATCCTCAGGATCTTTTGAGGAAGGTTTGTTTCCAGAAGCTTTACTTTAACTGTTCCTCAGCGGAGGAATGATCTTCAGAAGCCTCCAGAACATCTCACATCTTCTGAGGAGCCTTTATTTCTTCATCTCTCAATCAGCATTGCATTGCATTATATGTTTGGATCAATCTCATCTTACTAAAACATATTATTGGAGATATAGAGTGACGACTGATATTTATATCATTTTATGCAAGTATCTGCTGTACTCATATAAAGATCTCATTGATTTACTTTACAAGCCTCAGAATTTCATTTTACTTTTTGGCCATATAAATATCAGCATCTGCACCAAATTGCGTAATTAGAGATGCAGTGTATTGGGCAATATTGAGTCACATGGTAAAGGGCCTTAAAAAACACATTACTGTTCAAACATTAATTGTTTTGTTCAGCAAGGACACATTAAATTGATCAAAAGTGACAGTAAAGATGTTTATAATGTTGCAAAAGATTTCTATCTCAAATAAATGCTGTTCTTTTGAACTTTGTTTCTCAAAGAATCCTGAAAAATTAAATGTATCATGGCTTGCACAAAAATATTGTGCAGCACAACTGTTTTCAACACTGATAATAATCATAAATGTTTCTTGAGCAGCAAATCAGCATATTAGAATGATTTCTGGAGATCATGTGACACTGAAGACTCGAGTAATGATGCTGAAAATTAAGCTGCGCATCACAGAAATAAATTACATTTTACTATATATTCACATAGAAAAAAGCTAATTTAAATTGTAATAATATTTCACAACTATAAAATTTTGCATTTTGATAATACAGTATTTTTGATCAAATAAATGATGAGCATAAGAGACTTCTTTTCAGAAACATTAGACATCTTACAGCCCCCAAACTTTTGAATGGTACTGTAAATTCACATTAGAGTTTAAGTGTTAGTCAAAAGGTACAAATTCTTTTATTTTTGTTGTTATTGCCTTCCCAGAGCACCTCAACTATGCAGAACAGGCAGAAAAATAACAATGCAGGAAATAGAATAAGGAAGGCATTCCAAAGATGTTTTTCTTTAATGTTTCTGTAAGTATACTGACAACCAGAGGTGGACAGTAATGAAGTACATTTACATTTGATTACTGTACTTAAGTACACTTTTTGAGTATCTGTACTTTACTTGTGTTACGACCCTTTTGAGATGGTTTAGGGGTAAAAGGAGTAACATTGAGATTGTGGCAAATCTGTAAAATGATGGAGGCAGCCAGAGACAATGCAGGGACACGAACTGCCAATGAAAGTGATTTATTATACAAAGTGAAAAGAATCCATATAACTATAAAGTATATTTACAAAAATATAAATCATTAAAGAGACAACCAATATATATTTACAACTCAGAAAAAAAAGAAAAACAAACAAAAAGCAAACAAATCAACCCAAGACAGGGCTCCAGACTAATATTTGAGAGCAGTGCATGGCACCAGCGCCACTAAGTTCTGCAGATGGTGGCGCCAGGAGCAGATTTGGTAGCACTGGGGGTGGTGTGTGGGAGTATTAAAATATAGATCATTTAATCATAAAATTACTATTGTTTTGCATTAATAAGTGCAGTTACTAATAATATTACATGTTCATTTCTTGTTTTTCTTTTGTTTATTGTTTATACAGACTAAGCTTGAGTTAAGATGCATACAAAATTTACTTTTATTAACAGTAACAGGTGCAAAATCTAATTTTTATATAGAAAATGTATATATTCCAACTCTTATTAAATGTACCATTATTCTTCTAGTATATGGAACTGACCAACTTCAGTGATTATGTGTGATTTAGTAGCAAGTTGAAGAAAGGTTTGCTTTTCAAGGCACTTTGTGACTTTTCTTAAAAAGTGTAAAATTATGACAAAATCTGATTTCTTGATCAGTTGATATTTTGTGATTTTATAATTTCAAAATATAGAGAAAAAGTAGAAATGAATGACTAATAAGCCAATAAGTGCTCCTCTGCTGCCGTCAACTGGTTATAATTGTGATTTGATGTATTTTTTTTAATTGTACATACGTGTTTGTTTACCACAAAGTATATGTTGGTCATCCCATTAAAAATAGCATTCAAACTGGATCATTTTAGAGCTTTAAAGTGCTGGAAATAGTTGTGTGAAATGCTTAAAAGCCATTGAAAAGTACTGGAATTTCTCTCTCAAAAGGTTGTACAAACCCTGAAATGAATAATGTAACGCATTCGACTATTTCTACCACAACACCATGGTTGCAGTTAGCGTTACCGCTTCTGGTTTCCTGCCGTATGTCAGCGCTGTTTATAACAGAGAATTCTGTGCAGAATTAGAATGATTGTCACTAGATCTCGCAGCAACTTTATCATTGTGCGGCGAATTCAAACGCTTCTCGCTGGATCTTGCAGAACTGTTGCATCTGTGCAGTAATGTAAAGAAATTTAAATTTGTATGTTTAGTTTTTTTTATTACGTGTTATTATTTTAATTTGTTTTATTTAATATTTTATTATTTTTACTTTTTTATTTATTAAGTATAAATGTATTAATTAATTATAATTAAATAATTAATTATTTTTATTATTGTTAATTTTTTTTACATTTTTATTTCTTTATTTTTTACTTCTTGTTTTCTTTTTTTTTCTTTTTTACAATTACTATTACATTTATTATTTGGCAGACAATTATTTTTTTTGGCAAAGATTTCATAATTTTATCCTAAGCAACTTTCTGTGCATCGTACATGATAAAGTACAATAATTTTTTACTATTTTCATTTTTACATTTTGCTTATTTTTCCATTACGTTTTTAATTAATTTGATAATTTTTACTGTTTTATTTAACTACTTTATTTTTTTTTTATTTTTTATTTACATTTTTACAATTACTATTACATTTATTATTTGACAGACAAATATTATTTGGCAAAGGTTTCATAATTTTATCCAAAGTGACTTTCTGTGCATCCTAGCTCTACGTGATAAAGCACAAGAACCCGTGCTGTATGATAATATATCACAACCTTGTGTACCTTATTGCTTTTTTACAGTTATGCCATATTCAAATATTAAAGACAAACATTTATTGCAACATCCAGAACCGGAACGATCAGTTTTATAATTCCCAGCATGTTTTCTGTGTGAATAAATACCCCGTTTACTGTGACATTAAGAATTCAGAGGTTTCATCATGCGCTGTGATGATCGGGACGCACAAACAAAGAGCGCTGACGAGTTTGTCAGGGAGAATGTGAGCAACACTGTGCTGCGCTGCATTCAAATGAACATAATGGCATTGAGACGGACCTCATGAAGAAGCACTTCACAGAAGAAAGTCAAGAATTATCTGTTTGACCCTTCAGTTGCTTACAGTTTCAGTCTCTACAGAGCATCCCGAATGAATGAATGAATGAATGCTCAAACTGATTGAACATTCTTATGTGTGCCAGATTAAAGTGTGATATTGCAAAGCCATTCTTCTTTAAAGAAAGAAATAGTTTAGTTATGCATTGAAACGATTTGACTGCAGAGACCGAATCAAAAGTGAGACACGAACACAAAGAAAAGAGAAAAGCCTCATATGAAAGCAATTACAGCTGATTTGTGAACAGATCTATTCTTATCATTACAGCACATTCACTTTGCTACTTTAGCAGAAAGTCATTAGATTCTCTCGTTAACAGCTTAAAGGTGAATCAACATTCATCTAAAACAGCATTTATAGATCACTAAGCATTTAAACTCATCTCTGGGTTATCTTTAAGCACTTAAATGTAAAGCTATGTCAGTTTTGTTTTCTGCATTTCTTGATTTCTATCTTATTGAGATTTAATTCGTTCTCAAAAAAAACGGAATGTTTGTCTTGAGCAACTCAATTTATATTTTAGCTGAATGTCAACTATTTTAAAGACTTTTTTAACAAAACAATATAATTGCTATATGAAAATCTATATTACAGTGAAAAACATCATTTGTTGTGTGTATATATACATATATATTCATTTATTTTATATACAACTTTTGATTTAAATAACATAAATACAAGCTTTAGAATAGATACTCATTTTAAAATTGCTAAGTTTACATCTTTTCTATTAAGCTCTTGGTGAACTTGTATAAATTAATTAAATATATTGAGTTGATTTACTTGCAGTAATATCATCTGGTATTTTCTTTCAGCTGTCTCCTCAAACTTGTGTTTTTTTCCTGTCTTGTAAATGCGTTCAATTTCAACATATTTTTCATAACAATCTCTAAATATACAACAAAAATGAACCGAACTGACACCGAACTCTCATTATGAATGGGTTTTCATTGAAATTAATTAAGAATAGCTACTTATATTCATTTATCACTCAATAACACATCAGTTTACTTACTAATACTGAACAATTCAAACTACACTGAAAACCATTTTCAGTCAGAATTGCTAGTAAATATTTTACAAATAATTACAAGGAAATAGTGAGTAACACATTGAATTAAACATACAATTTTGAAGTAAAAACTGAAATAGTGCTTTCTTGTGCTCCAATAATTTTTACTTAATTTACAACTTCGAGAAACCAGCTAAATCAGTCCATTTTCACATATGTGACCTTGGAGTACAAAAGCAGTCTCAAGTCGCTGGGGTATACAGGTGCATCTCAATAAATTAGAATGTCGTGGAAAAGTTCATTTATTTCAGTAATTCAACTCAAATTGTGAAACTCGTGTATTAAATAAATTCAATGCACACAGACTGAAGTAGTTTAAGTCTTTGGTTCTTTTAATTGTGATGATTTTGGCTCACATTTAACAAAAACCCACCAA